CCGGGGCCCCCGCGGAGGAGGGGGGGGCCCCCGGGGGGCCCCCCTCGCTGCTGCAGCAGGCGTTCGAAGAGCAGCAGCGGCTGATGGAAAAGAAGAGACAAGTGCTGGACAAAATGGCGGAGTTGGCGCTGCTGGAGACGAAGTGGGGCGAAGCTTTGGAAGCAGAAGGAGAAGGGCCTTTGCTGCAGCAAATCGCAGCAGCAGCAAAAGAGTTGGAGACACTGCAGCTGCGGAAGCTGGAGCTGCAAGGAGACAGAGTGCGTTTTCAGAAGCAGAGTGCGGAGTTGGAGGCGAAGCAGGACGCGCGGCAGCGGCTGCAGCAGCAGGTGCAGCAGCTGCAGCAGCAGCTGCAGCAGCAGCAGCAGCAGCAGCAGCAGCAGGAAGCCGAACTCGACGAACTCGAGGCCGGCCTCCGCGAACGCCAGGAACAGCTGCTCGAACTCAAGACCGAGATCGAAGCAGCAAGGTCTCGGAAAGAAGAACTTGCTGCTGAGTTCGAAGAAAGGAGACAGCAGTTTCTCGAGGCGCTGTCTCCTTTGGAAGCAAAAGTTGCTGCTAGGGAAAAAGAGGGGACAGCTCTTGAGGGAATCCGAAAAGACGGAATTGATAAAGTGAGGAAAATGAAAGAACAACTTGCATGCAGGACTTTGCTGCGGGAAGCAGTGGAGAGACACCGCAGGATGGAGACAGCTGAGCGCGACGCAGCGGAGCAGCAAACTGCAGCAGCAAGGAGACAGATGCGGGAGGAGTTGGAGACACTTGAGGTGTCTCTGCGGCGGGACGATTTGCTGCCAGCAACGCGGAGCGTGCTGCTGCAGCGGCGCGCGCTGCTGCTGCAGCAGCACCGCGAAGCAGCGCAGCAGCAGCTGCAGCAAGCCCGCGGGGCCCAAGGAGACCTTTTTCTCGCCCTCGAAGCCCGCAGCATTGTCCGCCACAGAAGCAACTTGGGTCTCTGTCGATTTCTCGCGCAGCAGCAGCAAGGAGACCCCACAAACGCGGCCAAGGCGCAGCAGCTGCTGCTGGCGCTGCATGCGTTTGAGCAGCAGCGCGGGGAGACGCTGCTGCTGCTGGAGCGGGCCCGCGGGCTCGCCCGCAGCAGCAACTTGGGCCCCGAGGTGCAGCGGCTCTTCGGAGACAATCTGTCTCCTGAGGAGGCCTTGCGAGCTGCAGCAAAGGACTTGGAGACAGAAATCGAGGAGACACAAAGGCGGCTGGCCCTCAGCAGCAAGCGCCGCTCGCGGGCGCGCCGGGCGCTCCTCGCGCTGCCGCCGGAGGAGACGATCCCGGGGATCGGCCCTGGGATCGTCTCCGCCCCACAGGAGACGATCCCGGGGAGCGGCGAGCCCGGGATCGCCTCCGCCCCACGATCCCAGTGCGCGGACCGCGGCCCCACAGGGGCCACGCGGACGGAGCTGAAGCAGCAGCTGCAGGAGGCTTTGACGATGGTCTCCTTTTACTCGCAGCGGCTGCTGCTGCTGCAGCAGCAGCAGCAGCAGCTGCCGCGCAGCTACCCAGACCGCCTTGCTGCAGCAAGGGCCCTCTGGGCCCAAGCAGCAAAAGACTTCACCACTTCCGAAGCAAAACTCGAGGCCTGTGGGGCCTCCCCGGAGGCCCTCGAGGCCCTGGGGACAGCTCAGGAGGGTCTCCTGGAAGTGGAGGACTTTGCGGAGGAGACAGAAGAGGAGCAGCGCGACGAGGAGACACTTGCTGCTTATCCGGATGATGAAAGTGTCCCCGACGAGCAGCTGCTGGCTGTCCCCGTCGTCGACTCCGTCTCCTTCGTCGACATGCTGCAGCAGGTCCTGCTGCAGCAGCAGCAGCAGCAGCAGCAGCAGCAGGAAGAGCGGGGGCCGCAGCAGCAAGAGCGGCCGCGCGAGGAGGCGGGGGGCCCGCTGCAGCAGCAGCAGCAGCAGCAGCAGCAGCAGCAGCAGCGGGAGGAGACGCTGGGGGAGGTGGAGGCCAGGGCCATTGTGGACCTGCTGCAGCAAAAGGAGACTCGCGCGAAGGAGACCCTCGAGGCGCTGCAGCAGGAACTCGGGGCCGACGACTTGCTGCTGCAGCAGGTGCTGCAGCAGCAGCAGCAGCAGCAGGAGACACCAGGGGCCCCCGAAGCAGCAGCAGAAGAAGAGTTCGAAGAAGACTTCGAGTGGGTGCTCCAGGAAGCTGGGGAGACACCCGAAGCTCCGGAAATGGAGACACAAATGGAGACGCAAATGGAGACACAAAAGACAGAAAAGGAGACACAAAAAGAGACACAAAAAACAGAAAAAGAGACACAAAAAGAGACACAAAAAACAGAAAAAGAGACACAAAAAGAGACACAAAAGACAGAAAAAGAGACACAAAAGGAGACACGAGGGGGCTTCGTAAGGACTTTGGAGACTGTGGAGGAACTGACGGAAGAGAGTTCCCAAGAGGAGGCGCATCAGGAGACGGAGACAGAAGCTGCTGCTGCTGCTGCTGCAGCAGACCGAGCAGCAGATGCAGCAGCAGATGCAGCAACAGACGCAGCAGCAGATCCAGCAGCAGATCCAGCAGCAGATCCAGCAGCAGATCCAGCAGCATATCCAGCAACAGACGCAGCAACAGACGCAGCAGCAGATGCAGCAGCAGATGCAGCAGCAGATGCAGCAGCAGATGCGGCAGCAGATGCAGCAGAAGATGCAGCAGAAGATGCAGCAGAAGATGCAGCAGCAGATGCAGAAGCAGATGCAGAAGCAGATGCAGCAGCAGATGCAGCAGCAGATGCAGAAGTAGATGCAGCAGCAGATGTAGCAGCAGATGCAGCAACAGATGAGGCAGCAGATGAGGCAGCAGATGCAGCAACTGATGCGGCAGCAGATGCAGCAGCAGGTGCAGAAGCAGATGCTGCAGCAGATGCGGCAGCAGATGCTGCAGCAGACGCAGCAGCGGGGACGGATGCTGCAGCAGATGCTGCAGCAGACGCAGCAGCAGGGACGGAGACTGCAGCTGCGGAGACAGAAACTGCAGCAGCAGGAACGGAGACTGCAGCTGCGGTGACAGAGACTGCAGCAGCAGAGACTGCAGCAGCAGAGACTGCAGCAGCAGAGACTGCAGCAGCAGAGACTGCAGCAGCAGTTGGAGAAGCTGCAGCAGAGGGGGCTGGAGAAGACTCAGAAGCAGCAGCAGCAGACACGGAAACAGCAGCTGCTGCAGAAACAGCAACAGCAGCAGCAGCAGACACGGAAACAGCAGCTGCTGCAGAAACAGCAACAGCAGCAGCAGCAGAAACCGAAACAGCAGCAGCAGGGACAGAAACAGCAGCAGCAGATACAGAAACAGCAGCAGCAGCAAAGACAGAAACAGCAGCAGCAGAAACCGGAACAGCAGCAGCTGAAACAGAAACAGCAGCAGAGACAGAAACAGCAACAGCAGCATCAGCAAAAACAGCTCCAGCAGCAGCAGAAGCTCCAGCAGCAGCAGAAGCTCCAGCAGCAGCAGAAACTCCAGCAGCAGCAGAAACATCAGCAGCTGAGGCGGAGACAGCAGCAGCAGAAACCCCAGCAGCTGAAGCAGCAACAGCAACAGCAACAGCAGAAGCTGCTGCAGCAGAAGATTCCGTGGAAGAGGAGGAGGGATCGACGGAGACAGGAACAGAGGGAGCGAAGGAGTAGGGACAGGAGACAGCAGCAGCAGCAGCAGCAGCAGCAGCAGCAGCAGCAGCAGCAGCGAGGAGACCCTCTCGCGGGCCACACGCGAGGGCTAGGCCCTTCTTTGGGGCTGCATGCAGACAGCGGAAAAAATAAATTCCATGAAAAGGACGGAGCTCGGGCAGCGGCAGGAGACGCATCAAGACAAAGTGCTGCTGCTGCTGCTGCTGCTGCTGCTGCTGCTGCAGCAGCAGCAGCAGCCTCACTGCGGCGCGCGCTTCATTTGTCAGAGGCGGACCCCACAACGGCCGCCTTAGAAAGAGACTTTGGTTTATTTTACAGCAGCAGCTGCTGCAGCAGCAGCAGCTGCAGCAGTGGCTGCAGCAGTGGCTGCAGCAGTGGCTGCAGCAGTGGCTGCAGCAGCAGCTGCTGCTGCTGCAGCAGCAGCAGCAGGTGGACCAGCTGCGGCCCGCAGTGTCTCCCGTCTTCGCCGGCTGCTTAGTTCGTCATTTGGGCCTTGGCGCTGGAGTTTGATCTGCTGCTGAAAGTGTCCCTAGATTAGGTTTGCTGCTGCTGCTGCTGCTGCTGCTGCTGCTGGGGTTTTATTATTTTTGCTGCTGCACCGCCCGGCTGTCTCCCTGTGGCGAGCTGGCTGCTGGCTGCGGCAGAGACGCGTAGCACTGCCAGCAGCAGCAGCAGCAGCAGCAGGTCCCCCCGCAGCAGCAGCAGCCCCCCAGCAGCAGCAGCAGCAGCAGAATCTCAGCAGCAGCAGCAGCAGCAGCGCCAGCAGCAGCAGCAGCTCTTGCTGCTGCTGCTGCTGGCTTACTTATTTCTCATTCTGCATCTTTTTTAAGCTCAGGCTGACCAGTGAGGAGACAGCTGAAGATTTATTATTAGCCTCCGTTTGCTGCAGCAGCTGTCTCCTTCAGCAGCAGCAGGCCAGGGGGATTGAAAGGAGACACAGACGAATTTCTATTTGTTATTATTCTTGCTGCTGCTGCGGCTGCTCCTGCTGCTGCTGCTGCTGCTTGTGCTGCTGCTGCTGCTTGTGCTGCTGCTTGTGCTGCTGCTGCTGCAGTTTACAGCGCTGCTGCCGCTGCTTTTGTTGCTGCTGCTGCTGCTGCTGCTGCTGCTGCTGCCGAGGGGAGACTCGGGAGACTCGCCTCTCCTGTCTCCGTGCGGGAGTCCCTTAGGTGGAAGGGAAGCTGTAGCTGGAAGCTGTAGCTAGGGTTTAGGGTTTAGGGTTTAGGTTTCAGTGTTTAAGGTCTAGGGTTTGCGTTTCAGGGTTTAGGGTTTAGGGTTTAGGGTTTACGTCCGAGGGCCTAGGGTTTAGGTTTCAGTGTTTAAGCGTTGAGGGCAAGCTGCAGGGTCTGGGGCCCGGGCTGTGGCTGCGGGATCCAGTGTTGAGGGTTTAGGGTTTAGGGTTTAGGGTTTACGTTTTAGGGTTTAGGGTTTAGGGTTTACGTTTTAGGGTTTAGGGTTTAGGGTTTACCTACGAGGGCCTAGGGTTTGGGGTTCAGTGTTTAATCCTTGAGGGCAGGGTGCAGGGTTTGGGGCCCGAGCCCCAGCTGCAAGACCTAATGCTGAGGGTTTAGGGTTTAGGGTTTAGGGTTTAGGGTTTAGTTAGGGTTTGGGGCCGCCGTGCCTCTTGGGCGCGTTAGGCCGCAGCAGAGGCAGCAGCTAAAACAACAATTAAAGAAGCAAACAAAACAAATAAAATAAATAAATAAATAAATAAATAAATAAATAGCAATTAATTTGCTGCTGGAGATAATTAGCAGCAGCAGCAGCAGCAGCTGCTGCTGCTGCTGCTGCTGCCACGGAGACTGGAGGGACAGAGTGTCTCCTTGCTGCAGTGGCGGCGCGTTGGAACAGCAGATGGCTAGGCTCACAGCTTTAGGGTTTAGGGTTTAGGGTTTAGGGTTTAGGGTTTAGGGTTTGGGGGTCTGGAGGGGTGGGCCAAAGTGAAGAAAGGAGCCATTAGCAAGCCCGAAGCATCGACGCCGCCGCTGGGAGACCTCTAGGGTTTAGGGTTTAGGGTTTAGGGTTTTGTCTAGTTGCATGGGTTGAAACTGCCTTTTTAAGGGTTTAGGGCTTGGAATTAGGGTTTAGGGTTTAGGGTTTAGGGTTTAGGGTTTGACTGCAGGCAACCCCACGTGCACCTGCTGCAGAGACCACCGGAGATCTGGGGACCGACGGCCCCGCGCAGCAGGGTTTAGGGTTTAGGGTTTAGGGTTTAGGGTTTTGCTGGAGCTCGCTGAGTAGCAGCTTTATTTGGGATGCATTAGGGTTTAGGGTTTAGGGTTTAGGGTTTAGGGTTTCAGGGCCATCAGCAGCAGCGCCTAGCCACGAGACCCCGAGGCAGCTGTCTCCTGCGAGCAGCAAAAAGAGGCAGCAAAGGAGACTGTTTTTCCTTGCTTCTAATATTGCTGCTGCTGCTGCTGTTGTTGCTGTTGCTGCTGCTGCTGCTGCAGCGGGAAGTTGTGCACAGGGCAGCAAGAGTGCAGCAGCAGCAGCAGCAGCGGGGCAGCAGCAGCAGCAGCAGAAATGACACGGCAACGGCGGCAGTGATGCAGCAGCAGCAGAGGAGGGCCTAGAAGAAGCAGCGTTGCAGCGTTGCAGCAGCAGCAGCAGCAGCAGCAGCAGCTGCAGCAGCTGCTGCAGCAGCAGCTGCAGCAGCAGCAGCTGCAGCGGAAAGACCTGCACAGCAAAGAAGACAGCTGCGAATCAGTCCCTTTGTCTCTTCTGCAGCATGGGGCCTAGTCGTCCTGGGTTGCAGCAGCAGCAGCAGCAGCAGCAGCAGCTGCTGCTGCTGCCTCGTGTGCTACTGCTGCTGCTGCTGCTGCTCATGATAGTCTCCTTCGGCAGCGCCTCCCCAGCTGCTGCTGCTGCACCTGCTGCTGCTGCCTCTGAGCAAGTAGCTGCGTTATCTACAGCTACCCCAAGCCGCAGCAGCAGCAGCAGCAGAAGCAGCAGCAGCAGCAGCAGCAGCAGCAACTTGGTGAGTCTTAGGGAGCACATGCACAGCCTTGGGACGAGGAAGCAGAGCTGTCAGTCTGCTTTTGCTGCTGCTGCTACTGCAGCAGCAGCAGCAGCAGCAGCAACTGGCATCAAGGCTCTGGCCTGGCTCATGGAGACCCTGGGGCCCCTGAGGGTCACTCAGGGGGGGGGGCCCCCAAGGGACAAGTTGCTGCTGCTGCTGCTGCTGCTGCCGGCCCTGGGTTGTCTCTTCTCAGCCTCAAAGCTGAAAGGGAAGCAAAAAGCTGCGGGCGAGCAGCAGCAGCAGCAGCAGCAGCAGCAGCAGCAGCAGGCGAATGTGACGGGAGGGGAGCCGAGGCAGCAAGAACTAGCGGCAGGAGAAGCAGCAGCAGTGCAGCAGCAGCTGCAACAGCTGCAGCAGCAGCAGCGAAATCTCGAGGAGACTCGCCAGCTGCTGCTGCTGCTGCAGCGGGAAAGAGCAGCAGCAAAAGCAGCAGCAGCAGTGCAGGGCCTCGAGGGCAGCAGGGCAGCAGAGGCTCAGCAAAAGCTGCGCCAGGCCCTGCAGATGAGAGAGGAGCTGCTGCTGCAGCTGCAGCAGCAGCAGCAGCAGCGGCAGCAGCAGCAGCAGCAGCGGCTGCTGCCTGCAGGCTCCACGGAGGAGACTGTCTCCGCCTGGATAGAAGACATACAAATGGAGCAACAGCGCATGCAAAAAGAAGCAGCAAAGCTGCAGCAGCTGCAGCAGCAGCAGCAGCTGCAGCAGCAGCAGCAGCAGAGAACTCGCGAGGCACAAGCAGCAGACGGCAAAGATCGGGCTGGCAACAGCAGCAGCAGCAGCAGCAGCAGCAGGAAAAAAAGTCCAGCCGCTGAGCCTCAGACGCAGCAGCAGCAGCAGCAGCAGCAACAGCAGCAGCAAAAGAAGCAGAGGCACCAGCAGCTTCTTGCAGTACTGAAAGATATGCAGTACCGACTGCAGCGGGAGCAGCAAACGCAGCAGCAGCTGCAGCAGGAGCTGCAGCAGGAGAAGCAGCAGCTGCAGCAAAGGGAAGAACAGCTCGATGAAGAGCTGTCGCAGCTGCGACTGCAGCAGCAGCAGCTGGAGCAGCAGCAGCAGCAGCAGCAAAGCGCTGAACGCGAGGCGCTGCAGCGCGCAGCCAGAAGCGCCGCGCTGCAGCAAGAGCTGCAGCAAAGAGACAAAGAATTGGAGACACAGCAGCAGCAGCTAAACAACTTGTTGGAGACAGGCAGCAACGGAGACACAAAAACGGACTTTGCTGCCTTCGAGCTGCAGCAGCTGCAGCAGCTGCAGCAGCAGCTGCAGCAGTACTTTCGCCCCAAGGCCTTCCGCGCCACAGCGGAGCAGCAGCGCGAACTTGCTGCTGCAGCAGAAGAGCTTGCCGTTTTGCTTCCCGAAGAGCAGCAGCTGCTGCAGGCGCAGCTGCAGCAGCAGCAGCAGCAGCAGCAGCGGCAGCCGCGGCAGGTTTTGGCTGCTGCAGCAGAAGCAGTGCAGCAAGCGAAGAGACAGGTGGGGGCCCTGGAAGAAGCAGCAGCTTCTTCTGCTGCAGCCCCCGAGGCTTTTGCTGCTGCGCGGCACCAGCAGCTGCTGCTGCTGCTGGGGAACTGGGATCGTCTCCTCCAGACACGATCCCAGCAGCCCCAGGCCGAGCTGCTGTGGGGCCCCACACTTAGGGGCCCCCAGTTGCTGCGCAGAAACCTCAGAGGGTCTGCTGCAGCAGCAGATTATTTGGGGGCCCTGGGGGCCCTTTTAAGGGACACTGCAGCACTGCAGCGGGGCGCAGCAGCAGCGCAGCAGCAGCTGCAGCGGCTGCTCACCCAGGAGCGGCTGCTGCAGCAGCTGCAGCAGCAGGGGCCGCAGGCCCTCGCAGCAGCAGCAGCAGCAGCAGCAGCAGCGCCCTCGCCAGAGACAGTGCAGCAGCTAACAGCAGTGAAGTGGGCAGCAGCAAAAAGGCGGAAAGAAGAGATAAGGCAGCAGCAGGAAAAGTCGCAGCAGCGGGTGCTGCAGTGCCTCAAAGACATGCAAGCAGCAGCAGCAGCAGCATTAGGAGCAGCAGCAGCAGGAGCAGCAGCAGCAGCAAAGGGCCCGAGGGGCCTGCAGCTGCTGCACTTTCCCTTTCTTGTGGTGCTGCTGAAGGAGACAGCGCGGCAGCAGCAGCAAGCCAACGAGCTGCAGCTGCTGCAGGCGAAAACGAAGCAGCAGCTGCAGCAGGAAACCCTAGAGGACTTTGCTGCTGCAGCAGCAGCAGCAATAGAAAGAAGCAAAACCTTCGGAAATAACTTCGAAACCCTCCAGGCCTTCAGCAAGGCCCGCGTGCATGCACTGCAGCAGCAGCAGCAGGCGCTTGCTGCGCTGCAGCAAGCAGCAGAGACACTGGCGGAGGCATACACGGAGACAGACAAAAAAAGGAGACAAGCAGCAGCAGGCAGCAGCAGCAGCAGAAGCAGCAGCAGCAGCAGCAGCAGAGAACGAGCCAAGAAAGAACTGAAGAAGCACGTGCTGCTGTGGTACCCGCAGGCAGCGCGCATAAAGGGCACAAGAAGCCACATGCAGCAGCAGCAGCAGCAGCAGCGGCAGCAGCAGCAGCAGCAGCAGCGGCAGCAGCGGCAGCAGCAGCAGCTGAAGCCAGCTGCCAGAATGCGGACGTCATCGATGCCTGCAAAAGCAAGGCAGTCACGCGCAGCAGCAGCGCAGCGGCAGCCAGGGACAGCAGCAGCAGCAGCAGCAGCAGCAGCTGCTGCTGCTGCTGCTGCTCCCAAAAAAGGGACCCAAAAAGAGACAGCAAGGACACCTGACATGCAGGAGCTGCTGAGGAAGGCCCTCGAAGCAATCAGCGATGGAGAAGGGTTCATACAAACGGAGACACCAGCAGCAGCAGCAGCAGCAGCAGCAGCAGCAGCAGCAGCAGCAGCAGCGAGGCAGGGGCCCCACAAGGAGCAGCAAACTGCTAGGGCACGCTGGGGGCCCCCTCAGATGCCGCTTCAGCAGCTGGCGGAGGAGGCGGGGGAGGAGGAAGAAGAGGAAGAAGAGGGACACAGTCAGCAGCAGCAGCTGCAACTGCAGCAGCCGCAGCAGCAGCAGCAGCAGCAGCAGCAGAAGCAGCAGTCTCAGTAGAGAGCAGCAACTCTCCCGCTGCTTCACCCCAGCAGCAGGACAAGCGGGTAGAGAAGCATGCGCAGCTAGTGACTGCTGCTGCTGCTGCTGCTGCAGTTGCTGCTGCTGATGACAAGCCTTCCAGCTGCTGCAGTTGCTGCTGCTGCTGGCCACGGAGTCTCCAGCTGCTGCTGCTGCTCAAGCTGCGGGGGCCCTTGGGGGCCCCCCAGCATCAGCCGCAGCTGGGGCCCCCCAAGTGTCTCCTTTTAAGAAAAAGGAGACACACCAATTTGGGGGCCCGCAGCAGCAGAAGCAGCAGCAGAAGCTGCAGCAGCACGTTGGAGCAGCAGCACTAAAGAGCAGCAGCAGCAGCAGCAGAGGCAGCAGCAGCAGCAGCAGAAGCAGACTAACGCAGCGGAAAAGCCCTATGCTGTTTATGTGGGCGCGAGGAGACAGAAACAAGTTTGTGTCTCCTTTTCAAATTGACAAACTAAATAAATAAATAAATAAATAAATAAATAAATAAATAAATAAATAAATAAATAAATAAATAAATAAAACAACCACTTTTTTGATTTATTCATAAACTAAACTTAGAAACTTTTGCTTCAAATGACTCACTTAGAAAGCCTTAATAGAGCCCCAATACCTCAACCCTAAGGGGGCCCCACACTCTAGGGGGCCCCACACTCTAGGGGGCCCCACACTCTAGGGGGCCCCACACTCTAGGGGGCCCCACACTCTAGAGGGGCCCCACACTCTGAGGGGGCCCCACAATCTAGAGGGGCCCCACACTATGTGGGGGCCCCACACTCTAGGGGGGCCCCACACTCTAGGGGTGGCCCACACTGTAGGGTGGGGGCCCCCACACTCTAGGGGGCCCCCACACTCTAGGGGGGCCCCACACTCTAGGGGGGCCCCACACTCTAGGGGGGCCCCACACTCTAGGGGGGCCCCATACTCTGAGGGGGCCCCACCCTCTGAAAGGGCCCCACACTCTGAGGGGGCCCCAAACTCTGAGGGGGCCCCACAATTTAGGGGGGCCCCACAATCTAAGAGGGCCTCCAAAGGGGCCCTCTTTGGGGCCCCCCAGAAGAATTTCTTAGGGGGCCCCCCAAAAGGGCCCTCAGCAGGGCTCGTTGGGGGCCCCTAGGGGGCCCCTAAGAAGGCTAAAATGGGGACTTCTGGGGGCCCCCAGCTGGGCCTTTTAGGGAAACCCTAAAAGGGTTTACAGAAGGGCTTTAGAGGGTATTCTAGAAGGGGGGGCCCTCTAGGGTTTAGGGTTTAGGATAGGGTTTAGGGTTTCAAGTCTTGGCTAGAGTGTAGAACTGCGGAGCTAGGGTTTACGCTGTAGGCCAGGGTTTAGGGTTTACGCTAGGGTTTAGGGTTTACGCAGGGATTTCTGTCGAGATTGGGGTTTAGGTCACGCGCAGGGTTTAGGGTTTAGGGTTTGTGTCAGGGCTTAGGGTTTAGGTTAGGGTTCAGGTTTAGGCTCTAAGTTGGAGCTGAGGGCATAAGGCTTAGCACAGTGTTTAGGGTTTAGGGTTTAGGGTTTAGGGTTTAGGCGGGGGTTTAGGATTCAAACTGGGGTTTAGGGTTTAGAGTGCTTCGCCAGGTGCCAGACTTCCGGGACTACAGATTGTCGGTTTGTGTTGGCGGCCTTGACCTAGGGTTTAGGGTTTAGGGTTTAGGGTTTAGGGTTTAGGGTCTAGTACCCTGGGGCCCTCATGTGGTCTTTTTATTCCCTTTTTTGTTTGAAAAAAGAAAATAAAAAGTTCTTGTCTGACAAACATTTGATTTATATTTTAGCATAATGCAAATTAAAATATTTAAGTTATATTTTAATCATTTAACTCTTCCTAATAATTTTATTTATTTTATTTATTATCACTCCTGTCTTCACACTCCTTCTGAGGTGTACAGACAGCTCGGCTGTCTATACACCGCAGCTGCATGCACAATTATTTTTTCTTTTTTTATTTTTTTCATTTTTGGAAAATTTGCTTTTAGGCAATAAATAAAGATATTTAAATGCAAAAAAGATGCAAATAAATGCATAAATAAAGCTTGACTTTTAGGCATTTTAAGTACTTTTAAAAGTAATATATTTATCCATATTTTCATTTTATTTTAATTATTTTAATTATTTTAATTATTTAAATTATTCCAGTTTTATTTTCCTCGCATTTGCCCCATTCCTGCAGCAGAAAATGTGTCTCGTTTGCTGCTGCTGCAAATTCAAGAAAAAACACGCTCAGAGATAACCCAAACCCTAAACCCTAAACCCTAAACCCTAAACCCTAAATTGTTGTTAGGCAAAACAAATCCGAAAAAAAGGGTTTTTTGTCGAGGATATTGAAAACCTCAGTATTGAAACGCTGGCCGTTGGCCCCAGAACCCTGGACCCTAAACCCTAAACCCTAAACCTCAATCATTAAACCCTAAACCCTAAACCCTAAATGCTCGGTTTGACCTTCCCAAGGCTTTTCAAACGAGGTTTCAGGCTTCGAAGCTGCAGAAACAATAAAGATTCAAACCCTAAACCCTAAACCCTAAACCCTAAATTGTGGTTTGCGCTTCGCTAGCTCGGCAGTACAACTCGGTGAAGAGCACAGCTCGCTTCACTTCTCACGGGCAGCTCTTAGTGCATAGGCCTGCATTTAGGGTTTAGGGTTTAGGGTTTAGGTTTTAGGATTTAGGGTTTAGGGTTTAGGGTTTAGGGTTTAGGGTTTAGGGTCGTGGCATGCCAGCTAACGGTGTGTGCCAGCGGGGGCTGCTGCTAGTCACGTGGGGCCCTTTGCATGCAGATAAAATTAAAATAAGAAATTAAATTAAAATAAATTTTAAAAATAAGATATGCAAAAAGAGAAAAATAAAACTCGAGTGCATGCAGCTGCAGCCAGCAGCAGCAGCAGCTGCCGCTGCAGCAGCCTGCTGCTGCTGCTGCGCTGTTTGTCTTTTGGTTTGGGTTTAGCGGCCTTCTTTGAAATTAAATTCTTCAGTTGACCCTAAACCCTAAACGCTAAACCCTAAACCCTAAACCCTAAACCCTAAACCCTGATTCTCACGCACGCCGGGAGGGACGCTGCCTCAGACGAGTGCCGGCAACCCCAGCGGCCTCTAAACCCTAAACCCTAAACCCTAAACCCTAAACCCTAAACCCTAAACCTCTAACCAAGGCAATTGTAGGGAGTCACTTACCAGCTGGAGAAAACAGTAGCAGCTGCTGCAGTAAGAACGCCAACAGCTGCTGCCGCCGCCGCAGCAGCAGCAGCAGCAGCAGCACAGCAGCAGCAGCAGCGCCGACGACAGTAGCAGCAAGAGCCGCAGCAGCCAAGGGACCAGCAGCAGCAACACAACCGCCACCAGCAGCTGCAGCAGCAGCAGCAGCAGCAGCAGCAGCAGCAGAATGGAGGCTGCTGTTGCTCCGCCAACTGCGGCTAACTTCGAGGCCATTGCTGCTGCTCTCGAGAGCCCCGACAGCAGCAGCAGGCAGCAGGCGCAGCAGCTGCTGCAGCAGCTGCAGCAGCAAAGAGAGGACTGCAGCGAACTCTGCCTCGCCATAGTAGACGCAGCAGCAGATGCAGCAGCAGCAACAGTGGCAGCCATTCTCCTTCGCAGCGCGGGTAGGCCTGAGGTTCTAGGGTTTAGGGTTTAGGGTTTAGGGTTTAGGGTTTAGGGTTTAGGGTTTAGAGTTTAGGGTTTGCAGACCTCTGAGCGGTTCGCAGTGTCGAGGGCGCACACCGTAGGCTGCAGCACCGGGGGTTTAGGGTTTAGGGTTTAGGGTTTAGGGTTTTTATATGCGGACTGGCGACGAGGGTTTAGGGTTTAGGAATTAGGGTTTATGTGGTTTGCTGCAGCGCTGTGGCACTGGAATGCGCACATTGCTGCTAAGAGAGCAGCAGCAACTCGCGAGCTGTGTGCAGACCCAGGCGACGCAGCAGCAGCAGCAGCAGCAGCAGCAGATGCTGCTGCTGCTGCTGCTGCGCTGAAGCAGTATGTGCTGCGCATGCAGCAGCTCATGGCCAACATGGTGCTGCTGCTGCAGCGGAGGGCAGCAGCAGGAATTAGTGGTTAGTCTCTCTTTATTTGCTGCTGTTGCTGCTGCTGCTGTTACTTCTGCTGCTGCTTCCATTTAACTGCTGCTGCTCTTGCTTTTTCTGCCGCCGCTCTTTTAGCTGCTGCTGCTGCTGCTGCTGCTGCTGTTGCTGCTGCTGCTTGTGCTGACCCAACCGGTCGCGATGCTGCTGCTGCAGGTGTTGCCCTTGCTGCTGCTGCCGCTGCCACTGCAGCTGCTGTTGCAAGGAGACTACTGCTGCTGCTGCTGCACTCCTTGCTGCTGCTGCTGCTGCTGCTGCTGCTGCTGCTGCTGCAGGCAGCGCTGAGCGTCAGCTGTCGCATGCATTTTGCTGCTTGGCTAAAAAGGGCCTCGCCACAGAGTCTTCTGTCTTTATATCCGCTCTTAAAAACATTCTCAATGAGGTCAGACTGCAGCTAGGGTTTAGGGTTTAGGGTTTAGGGTTTAGGGTTTAGGGTTTGCTGTGAGGGGCGTGTTTGTTCCTGCTCTTTCTACTCATGGGGGCCAAGCTAGGGTTTAGGGTTTAGGGTTTAGGGTTAGGGTTTAGGTGGGTTCATGCGGTCTTAATCATCTTCGCACGTTGAAACCCAAACCCTAAACCCTAAACCCTAAACCCGAGAGACTTCTGGTTCTCGTTCTTTGCATGCTTATCTGCTCCTTTAAGGGTTTAGGGTTTAAAGCTTACTGCTGCTGCTGCTGCTGCGTCTATGCCCTGCGCACAGCAGAACGCAGCCCCCTACTTAACTGCTGTTGCTGCTGCTGCTGCTGCTGCTGCTGCTGCTGCTGCTGCTGCTGCAGGTGATGTCCAGAGGCTACATGGAGCCGCTGCCTCTCTTTTGGCTGTCTCTGTTAACAGAGGCAGCGCAGGAGATGCAGCAGCAGCAGCAGCAGGGGCTGCAGCTGACGCTGCAGCAGCAGAATAGCTGCTGCAGCATCTTCCATAAGGAGCTGCTGCTGCCGCTGCTGCAGTGCGTGCTGCAGCGGCTGCAGTACATCCTAGACCATACGCAGCAGCAGCCCGCGAGTCACGAGGAGATAGGTGTGCTGCTGCTGCTGCTGCTGCTGCTGCTGCAAACACTGCTGCTGCTGCTGCTGCTGCTGCTGCTTCAAAGTGGCGGCATGCTCTGTGCAGCTGCTGCTGCAGTGCATGTATGTGCAGCTGCGGTGAAGTGGTTCTGGTGCTGCTGCTGCCATTGCCACTGCTGTTGCTGCTGCTGCAGATTCAGCTGCTGCTGCTGCTGCTGTTCCTGCTGCTGCTGCTGCTGCAGTCACTGGCGCCAGTGCTGCCACTGCTTTTAGAGCTAGCTTCGTCCCTGCAGCAGCTCTTGCTGCCGCACTTGCTGCTGCTGCAGTTGCTGCTGCTGCTGCTGCTGCTTGCGTGGGGTGTACGTACAGCTGCGATCCTGGCAGTGCTGGAGACAGCTTGCTGCTGGAGCTTCCGGCATTCGCTGCTGCTGCTGGGCAGCAGCGAAGACTTGCCTTTGGCGCCCCCAGCAGAGTGGCTTCCAGTGGTCTTTCCGGAAGCTGCTGCTGCTGCTGCTGCTGCTGCTGCTGCTGCGGCCACGGAGGCTGCAGGAGGGGGCCGGGCGGGGCCCGCTGCTGCCGAGGGATCTGCTGCTGCTGCTGCTGCTGCTGCAGCAGGGGCCCTGTCTCCGCTGCCGCAGCAGGAAGGCCTTTTTGTGCTCGTGCTGCGGCTGTACAAGCTGCTGCGGCTGCAGCAGCAGCAGCAGCCGCAGCTGTTTGCTGCAGCGCGGTTTCTGCTGCAGCGGGTCGCCAAGTTCCGGCCTTCGGGCATGGAGGAGGCGCTGCTGGAGGCCGACGCAAGCAGCAGCAGCAGCAGCAGCAGCAGCAGCAGCAGCAGCAACTTTCCACTTCGGAAAGCTTCTTCTGGATCTGTCTCCAAAGCCAAAAAAAGGAGACTCGCGGAACTCATTTTTGTCCCCTTGCTGCATGTGCTGCTCGACTTAATAGAGACCTGCTCCTTCTATGAGCGCCTGCAGCAGCAGCAGCAGCAGCAGCAGCAGCAGCAGCAGCAGCAGCAGCAAGCAGAGTTCACGGAGCTGGAGCTGGAGGAGGTGCGGGACCTCTGCGCTTCTCTCGCCAACATTGCAGGTGACTGTCTCCTTTTATTAATTATTTAATTTAATTTAATTTGATTTAATTTAATTTAATTTAATTTAATTAATTTTAATTAATTGTTAATCAATAATTATTATTTATTTATTCGTTTTGTTCTTTTATTAGTTATTTGTTCTTCGCTTTATTACCCCCGGAAATGCATTTAAGTGAATAAATGAAAACAATCAAATTGATAATAAATAAAATAAAATAAACAAAAGTGGAAAAACAATTGTGAGAAATAATAATAAAATAAAAAGAAATAAATAAAAATAAAAAAAAGACTTTGCTGCTTGCTGCCGCCATTCAGTTCCCTAGAGAGAAGCAGCAAAAAGAAGACAAAAAAAGCAAGAAAAAGAAGCAAAAAGGAGACAAAAAGAAATAAAAGAAATAAAAAAGAAATAATAAAAACAAGAAAATAAAAAAGAGAAAAAAAATAAAATAAATTAAAAATTAAAAGTAAAAGAGACATTTGCTGCTGGCGTTTGTGCAGGCTGCAACGCAGCACTTCCTGGAGTCCTTTTTGCTGTTTGCGGCAACAGAGCTTCTCCTCTTTTGGCCAGGCAAGCAGCAGCAGCAGCAGCAGCAGCAGCAGTAGCAGCAGCAGCAGCAGCAGCAGCGGTAGTAGCGGTAGCAGCAGCAGTGGTAGCATCAGCTGCAGCGGCGGCGGTAGCAGGTGCAGCAGCTCATACCAGCAGCAGCAGCAGCAGCAGCAACAGCAGCAGGTGCAGCAGCAGCTGGCTTGCTGGTGGCTTGAACAAACCAGCAGCAGCAGCAGCAGCAGCAGCAGCAGCAGCAGCAGTTCGTGCGTTGCTGCGTCTCTCGGGCGCTCCTTCTTGTCTCTGTCTCGTTCTTTTTTAATATTATCAATTATAAATTAAACTTTCCTTAGATGCTGTTTGTCTTTAAATAAAATAATTAATTTTCCGGAAATAAATCATTTATTAATTTGCTTTTTTGTTTTGCTGCAGTTTGGGGATTGGCCTTCTTGCTGTTGCTGCAGGGGCCTCCGAAGGGGCCCCCCTTGCTGCTGAGGCCCTCGCGCTGCTGCTGCAGGCCTGGAGCACTTGGGCCTCCCGTTTGCTGCTGCTGGCGGACTCGCAGCAGCTGCTGCCGCCGCAGCAGCAGCAGCAGGTGCAGCAGCAGCAGCAGCAGCAGCAGCAGCAGCAGCAGCAAAAGATGCGGATCGAGGACGCCCCCTGGTGGCGCGCCTTTAGGGACTCAGCAGCACTTTTCGTCGAGACGTTTATCCACAAGCAAGCCAACCCTCAAACCCTAAACCCTAAACCCTAAACCCTAAACCCCAAACCCTAGCGCTGCCGCGCCCCACGTCCCTGCCTTTTGTTTTTCCATTTATCGAGGTTTAACTCCCGAAGCAGCGCGTGAAATGCCCAAGGGCTTGGAAACTAGGGTTTAGGGTTTAGGGTTTAGGGTTTAGGGTTTAGGGTTTAGGGTTTGGACGCCGCAGGGGCCTGAACGCATGCAGCCAAAGGGAGGGCGAGGGCGAGGGGCAGCTGAAGGGCAAAAACACTTTCATCAGCAGCAGCAAAGAATCTGCATTAGGAGAGTTTTTGAATTCTTTAGTTGGTTTGTCTTTTGCTGCTGCTGCTCGCGCGGTGGCAGCAGCAGCAGCGAAGCAGCAGCAGCTGCTGCAGCTGCAGCAGCAGGCGCGCGACGCGGCGCTCGCCGCCCCCGCGCCGCAGCAGCTGCAGCAGCAGCTCCTGCTGCTGCAGCAGCAGCAGCAGCAGCAGCACTGGCTGCTGCTCTACACCCAACTCTTAATTGCAACTCACTCTGGGCCAGAAACCCTCAGCAGCCAAAACGTGGCGCCCCCCAAGCAGCTGCTGCAGGACAAGGACGCCCAAACTGAGGTGAGGGTTTAGGGTTTAGGGTTTAGGGTTTAGGGTTTAGGGTCTAGGGTTTAGGGTTTGGGATTTGGGGCTGAGGGTTTAGAGTCTAGGGCCTTTTATTTTATCAGGGCTGAGGGTTTAGGGCTTGGCGCCCAGAATTCAGGGGTTCACGGTTTGTTTCTAGGGCCTTGGGGTTTAGGGTTTAGGGTTTAGGGTTTAGGGTTTAGGGTTTCCGGTGGGTGCGCAGCTTCTGCGGCTCCTAGATGCGACGTTTACGATGCTGGAGGCTGAAGTTGGCGCTTTGAGTTCCGCTGCTGCTGCTGCTGCTGCGGAGGCGCAGCAGCAGCAGCAGCAGCAGCAGCAGCTGCTGCTGCTGCAGGCGCAGCAGCAGCTGCCCTCCCCCGCAGTGCTGCAGGCGGGGCTGGGGCTGCTCTCTGTTGTAGCAAAAGCTTATTTGTTTAGAGAGAGACTAGCGAGGCCTTTGCTGGCAGACATTCTCTTGCCCGGTCAGCAAACCCTAAACCCTAAACCCTAAACCCTAAACCCTAAGCCCTAGGCCCTAAGCCCTGAGCTGTGGGCTGGACGCGCCCGCCCGCTCTGCTGAGCGGGTCCGTGGGGCTGGAGCGGGCCTACTTAGAATTTTCGCTTAGGGTTTAGGGTTTAGGGTTTAGGGTTTAGGGTTTAGGGTTTGGGGTTTAAGGTCTGGGAACTAGGGTTTAGTGGGCGTTTGTGCCCGTGAAGCATCCGCGCGCCGCCCTGCCCTGAAGCGGAGCCGCAGTGCTGCTCACGGTTTAGGGTTTAGGGTTTAGGGTTTAGGGTTTAGGGTTTAGGGTTTAGGGTTTGTGCGCGCAGAGGGCGGCCTTAAGGTGCTAAACGCGGGTGTGTCTCTTGCTGCCAGGTGTCTCCTTGCTGCTCCACAGCACCCCAGCCTCAGCGTAGCCAGCGTGGGGGCCCTTTGTGTGTGAGTACCCAGCAGCAGCAGCAGCAGCAGCAGCAGCAGCAGCAGCAGCAACAGCAACAGCAGCGGCAGCAGCAGCAGCAGCAGCAGCAGCAGCGGCAGTAGCAGCAGCAGCAGCAGCAGCGGCTCGTGCACTCACTGCGGCTCTGTGCTTGTGCTGCTGCTGCTGCTGCTGCTGCTGCTGCTGCTGCTGCTGCTGCTGCAGGTTTGCTGACAGCCGCAACCCTTGCTGCGCCTACCTCTGGGAGTGTGAGGTTTTCCAGGCGCTGCTGGAGGCTTGCTGCAGCTGCTGCGCGGGGCTGCTGCAGCCGCAGGCAGCAGCAGCAGCAGCAGCAGCAGCAGCGGGGTCAAGCTCGAGCACGGCGCCCGCAGATAGCAGCAACTGCAGCAGCAGCAGCAGCAGCAGCAGCGCCCTGCGGCAGCTGTCCAGCAAGTGCTGCGCCCGCCTCTTTGCTGTTTTTGCTGCTGCTGCTGCTCCCTCGGACCAGCTGTGGGACCTGGCCACGAGGCATGTGCAGCAGCAGCAGCAGCAGCAGCAGCAGCAGCAGCAGCAGCTGCGGCGCAGCGGCACTTTGCTCAGCGAAGAAGTTGCTGCTACCCGCACTGCTGCGCTGCTGCAGCGCTGCAGCGTCAGCTTCGGGGTGCTGCAGGCAGCAGCAGCAGCAGCAGCAGCAGCAGCAGCAGACAAGAAGCAGCAGCTGCCGGCTCCTGCGGTAAGCCCCTTCGGGTGTACGTACACCGCAGCTGCATGCGCATGCAAAACCCTGAGGAGCCAGAAAGTGTTTTATAATTCAAAATGATTTTTAATTTAAATTATTTTTAATTTAAAATAATTTATAATTTAAAATGTTTTAGAATTTAAAATGAATTATAATTTAAAATGTTTTAGAATTTAAAACAATTTATGTTTTAATTTCCATGAATTCAATTCAGCTTCTTGAACCCCCTTGCCTCCTTGTCCTTCCAACGCCCCAACACTTCCGCTCCTGCTGCTGCTGCTGCTGCTGCTGCTGCTGCTGCTGCTGCTGCTGCTGCTGCTGCTGCTGCTGCTGCTGCTGATAGATTTGCTGGGTACTGAGCATGCTGGGGGGCCTCGCATGGGGCACTGGGTCTTGGGGGGCCCCCCGTTTGCTGCAGTGGATGGGGCCCCACTTTGGCTGCGTCTTTGCTGTAATTCGTGCTGCAGCAGCAGACGCAGCAGCTGTGACCGAGTAAACCCTAAACCCTAAACCCTAAACCCTAAACCCTAGGCCCTCAGCGCCAAACCCTAGGCTTCAACCAGGGACGCACAGAGCAGCAAAACGCAGCCATCGATTTCCCTTCCTCGGCTCTAAACCCTAAACCCTAAACCCTAAACCCTAGTTTCTCCTGTGTTCGCAGTCTTGCGCTAAACCCCAGGCCATAAGCCGCTTTTCATTGTCAAGGGTTTAGTGTTTACGGGTCAGGGTTTAGGGTTCAGGGTTTAGGGTTTGGGGACGCATCTGCTGCTCCTTAGTTCTCCTTTCGCCGCCAGCCCTTCACATCCCACTTTGCCGCTGTGCTGCTGCTGCTGCTACTGCCGCTGCTGCTGCTGCTGCTGCTGCTGCTGCTGTTGCTGCTGCTGCTGCTGCTGCAGCGGGCTTAAGTTCTCCCGCCGCCTTGCTGCAGCAGGGGCTTGCTGTTTGAGCAAAGAAGAAGCTCAGGCCCTTTTGAGGGAATACAGCGCAGTGCTGGCTGCCTTTGCAGTGCGTCCCCAAACCCTAAACCCTAAACCCTAAACCCTAGATCAAATCCCCGCCCTGAACTAAACCCTAAACCCTCAGGGTTTGCAGGCTCAGCTGAAGCCTGCTGATCGTCTTTGGCCGTCAGGGTTTAGGCCCTAGGATTTAGCGTTCAGGATTTTGAGCCAAGGGTTTGAGGGCTAAGGGTCTAGGGTTTAGGGTTTAGGGTTTAGGGTTTAGGGTTTAGGGTTTGTTCTGCAGGCGACTTTAAACCATCAGCTAACCCCAGAGGAAGAAGACGCAGCAGCGGCGAATGGCGTTCAGGTGTTTAAGTGAGTTTTCAATTATTATTTTTTTAATTTTAATTTTTAATTTTTCAATTTATTATTTGCAATTTGTTTAATTATCATCCATTTGTTTATTAGTGTTTATTTATTACTTTTCATTTAGCTATTCCTTTGCTTTCTGCTTCCGTCTACGCCCTCTGCTTCTAGGGTTTAGGGTTTAGGGTTTAGGGTTTAGGGTTTAGGGTTTAGGCTTGCGGCTTTTCGCCTTTATATTTCAGGCTGCTGCAACAGCTGGCAGGAGAAAACAGGGGAGCCAAACACACGGACTGGTGAGCGGCCTATCAAGGGTTTAGGGTTTAGGGTTTAGGGTTTAGGGTTTAGGGTTTAGGGTTTAGGGTTTAGGACTGCGCCCTTACAGAGAGCTCGTACGCGAAAGCATTGACCAAATAAGCGTTATAACGTCTGCATTCTTCTTTTCGCCGTGAAAGGAATCAGGGTTTAGGGTTTAGGGTTTTGGATTTAGGGTTTAGGGTTTAGGGTTTAGGGTTTAGGGTTTGGGGTTGTTTGTTGCAGGATGTCAACGTGCATAATTGACTGCCTGAAGTCTCTCCGTCCCCTATGGCTGCTTCTAAGCGACAAAGAACCCAAGTGCGCAATTGAAGTTTCTAGGGTTTAGGGTTTAGGGTTTAGGGTTTAGGGTTTAGGGTTTAGGGTTTAGGGTTTAGGGTTTACTTGCTCATTTTTTGATTCATATTTTACTTCGTATGGATCCTCTCTCCGGCTCCCCGCAGCATTCTCATTTACTTTCTGTCTTTGTTTATTTTTATTATTTATTGTTTATTTATTATTTATTATTTATTATTTATTATTCATTATTTACTTGTTTATCGTTATTAATTTTTATTTATTACTTTTTAGCGTTTATTATTTATCTATTGTCTATTTATTATGCATTCGTCTACTTGCCCTTCATTATCATTTGTTGCTTGTCTGCTTGTTTAGGGTTTAGGGTTTAGGGTTCAGGGTTTAGGGTTTAGGGTTTAGGGTTTATTTATCCTCTATTGTTTCGCCTGACATCCATTTTTCCCCCAAATAAATAAACTAATTTGCCATTTCAAACTTATTTACTCCAATTATTATCATTTAACTCATTATTTATTTATTTATTTATTTATTTATTTATTTATTTATTTATTTTTATTTTTTATTTTTAGGGTTTTGAGTTCCTACTTATCTGTTTTCGGAGTTCTCTTAGAAGACGACGCAGCTCTTGTGCTGCAGCAGCTGGGCCCTGAAGACAGCGACATCTTGATGACCCTCGTAAACCCTAAACCCTAAACCCTAAACCCTAAACCCTAGCTCGTGAGCCCCAGCAGTGGCCTGAGCCGGCAGCTTGAGGCGCTGCTAAACCCTCGCCGTCCGGTCTAAACCCTAAACCCTAAACCCTCAAAGGAGAGCCAGCGCCTCGCGTGTAGCCAAACCCTAAACCCTAAACCCCTCAGAGCCCGCGTGCCTGGGAGGGCGGGCGCTGGCCTCAGCGGCCCCAAACCCTAAACCCTAAACCCTAAACCCTAAAAGAGCGTATTGTGCGCAGGCCGAGCGGGGGGCCCTCTCGGGCCAAGCCCGGCTCATGAGCCTTTCCTTAGAAGCTGTTTATCTTCTTGCAATGCAACTGGCAAATGCGCAGCTGCTTAATTTAGTAAACCCTGAGGGTTTGCTAAACCCTGAGGGTTTGCTAAACCCTGAGGGTTTGCTAAACCCTCAAAACAAAACCTCCGTCTTCGCGGGACTTCCTCAGGCAGAGACGATG